CCCCCCACTGCCCCCCATTACCCTTCCAACCCCAATCCCCCCTGTTTCCCACCCCACCGATTCCCCGCAGGACCCCGCCCAAGCCCCCGCCCTGCGCGCACCGCCGGGGCCGCCCGTCGCGGTCGGGAGGCAGCAGCGTCAGGGGGCCCGAGGGGCGCCGCAGCAGCGCCCGCAGCAGCCGGGGGTCCCCGCGGGGAAGGGGACGGTGTCCCACGCGCAGCAGCCGCGTCCCGGGCCGCAGCCCCGCGGTCTCGGCGAAGGAGAACCGCGTCACGGCCGTCACGACCCCCGAGGGGTCCACGCGGAATCCCCGGCGGCCCCCGGCCCCCCGCGGCAGCGCCAGCTCCCGCGCCTCGCACCCCCGCGTTACCGCCTGCGGGGGGGACACACCGGGTCAGGGAGGGCACGGGGACCCCGACAGAGCCCCCCGCGCCTCGCACCCCCGCATCACCACCTGCGGGGGGGGCATCGAGTGGGAGGGGTTCAGGGATCTGCGGGGATCCTGACAGGGACCCCCGGGGGGTGACCCAGTATCAGCCCATGGGAACCCCAACACTGACCCCATGGGGCACCCTATGGACAACTGCCCTGTCTGAGCCCCACAGCACACCCCCGTAGTCCCCCATCCCTGCCCTACCGCACCCCCCACTGCCCCCCGAGCCTGACCCATTGCCCTCCCCACTGCCCCCTTTTCCCCCCCAGTTTGCCCCGCCATCCCTGCCCCATTCCTGGCCCCCCCATTGCCCCCTGCCCCGCTCACCTGGAGCCTGGCCACCACCTGTGGGGCAGCGCCGTGGGGCAGCCGCAGCCCCAGCCACTCGCCCGCCCCATAGAAGATCTCAAGGCGCCCCTCGGCGAACCCCCAGCCCAGCACGTCCCGGCAGGCGCAGCTGAACAGCACCCCGGGGGGGAGGGCGACTGTCCCCGGGTGGGGGGCAGCGGCCCCTTGGGGGGGCGCGGCCATCCCCGCGTTACGTGGGGGTTCCCCTTGCTGTGGGGCAACCGTCCCTGGGTGGGGGGTGACCGTTCCTGAGTGGGTGGGGGGCTCCCCTGGGTGTGGGGGGAGCACCCCTGGGTTTGGGGGAAACTTCCCCGGCTGAGGGGCGATCGCCCTTGCGTGGGGGTCGACCGTCCCTTGATCACGGGGGGGATTCCCTGGGTTGAGGGCGAGCCCCCCGGACCGGTTGGTGACCGCCCCGGGTGGCGCGGCGACCACCACCACCCTCTCCGCCGCTACCCCCAGTAGACACGGCACCTCGGCCCCCCCGGGCCCCCCCTGCGCGCGCGCCCCCCACACCAGCGCCCCCGCCACCGCCGCGCCCCCCGCGCGCCCCGCGCTCCCCCGGCGCCGTCCCCCGAGGGCGGGCAGCCCACGGGGGGGCGCGGGCAGCGGGGCCCCCCCGCCGTGGGCGCGCAGCAGCTCCTGCAGGTACTGGCGGCGGGTGCGCGCGGCCATGGCCCCCAGGCGGCCCCCCCGCGCCGCCGCGTTCTCCCCGTTGATGGCTTTGGCCAGCAGGAACGGGCGCAGCCCCGCGCCCCCCAAAAAGCGCTGCCCTGCCGCCAGCGCCGGCCCGAACGGGGGGGTCTCCTCCGGCCGCACCACCGCCACACTGCGGAGAGACCCCCAGAGGGGGCGGGGGGGCGGTTAGGGACCCCAGAACGCGGGTGAGACTCCCAGAGCCCAGGAGAGACTCCCAGAGCCCAGGAGAGACTCTCCTAGGGAACTCTGCCAGACCCCCAGGGGGCAGGACAGACCCTCAAGAACCAGGAGAGAGCCCGAGGGATTGGGGGAGACTCCCAGGAATCCCAAGAGCCCTGTGACACCCTCAGAGACCCTGGGAGAGACCCCAAGAGCCCATGTAAGCAGTACAGGGCCCGTGCTGGCCCCCTCCAGCCCTCGCATAAACCCCCAGACCCCTTGTGAGTCCCCCAGGGCCCATGCAAGCCCCTCAAGAACCACGCATCACCCCCAAAGCCCAGGAGGGACCCCCCCAGAGTCCATGAGAGGCTCCCCAGCCCTGCATGAGCCACTGGGGACCCCCAGACACCCCTGTATGAGCCCCACACCCTTTAGGAGCCCTTGGGGATCCCCAGACCCCCTGTACAAAATCTCCAGCACCTGTCTGAGACCCTTGGAGACCTCCAGACCCTCTTTAGGACCCCCAAAACTCCCTGTATGAGCCCCCCAAGCCCAAGAGCCTTGGGGACCCCTGGCCCCACCTGTAGGTGGTGTGGGGGGTGCAGGGCTCGTGCACCCGCACCACGATGAAGATGTGCTGGAAGTGGCTGCGCAGGGCACGGGGGGAGAAGGGCCGTGCCCCCGGCTCCTGGAACACGATTGTCACGATGTCGTTCCCGATGTGGCGCTTCCGCAGCAGCTGGTGGGGAAAGGGGGGAGTCAGAGTCCCAAAAGTGTCCAGGGGGGGCAGAGATAGGGAACCCCTACAGACTGCTGGGAACACTCAGCATCCCCCAAAAACCTTTGGGACCTTCAGACCCCCCCAGCTGCCTTAGAAATCCCCAAACCCCCTTGGAATCCTCCCATTCCCTGGGACTCCTGGACCTGCTGCGACTTAATGGACCCCCAGCCCCATGACCCCAGGCACCCCTGTGACCCACCCCCCTCCATACCTGCTGGGAGTTGCAAGGGGTGAAGGGCAGCATGGGGGCACCCCAGACCCTATGGACCCCCACAACCCCTGCCATGACCCCCCCTAACCCCCTGTACCTGCTGGGGGTTGCGGGGAGTGAAGGGCAGCATGGTGCTCACGTGGAACATCACCTCGTAGCCGTGGTACGTCGTGTACAGCGAGTGGGTCCCCGTGGAGTCAGCTGAGGGGGCACAGCCTAAGCCCCCACTCTGCCAGAGACCCCTGGCCCCTCAAGGCCCCGTGTCCCCAGGTCTCCCTGTATCCACATCCCCTCATCCCCATCTCCATGTCCCCTCATCCCCTTGTGTCCCCCGTGTCCCATCCTCCCTGTCCCCACCAGGTCCCCGTGTCCCTTCCCCTACGTCCTCATGTTCCCCCCAACCCCTGTGTCCCCATGTCCCTCTATCCTCACAGTAGCCATGTCCCCATCCCCGTGTGCCACGTCCCCCTCACCCCCATGTCTCCCTCTCCCCTCGATGTCCCCCCGTGTCCCTCTGTGTCCCCGTATGCCACCCTGTCCTCCCACGTGTCCCCGTGTCCCCGTGTCCCGGGTCTCACTGCGGGTGTCCAGCTGTGCCCGGTACCCGGCGAAGCCGCGCAGCCTCACGCGGGTGCCCAGCAGTGCCAGGAACTGCTCGAAGGCAGGGCCGGGCTCCTCGTTGTTGTACATCTCCTCCTCGGAGCCCTGCCCCCCCCGGCAGTACAGCACCCCCACCTTGCGCTGCCGGCTCACCTGGGGGGATGAGGGACGTGAGTGGGGCACAGGGAGTTCCCAGGGAGCGCGCAGGGAACACGCACAGACCCCTCCCACGAGGGCCTGCACTGGTGCAAACCCCACCCTCGTGCACACCAGGTCCTAGTGCAAGGCCTGAACCCTTGCAAACCCCACCCTGTGCACGCCCCACCCTTGTACAAGCCCTGCCCGCGTGTGAGCCCCAGGTCCGGTGCAATGCAATCCTTGTGCAAGCCCCCCCTAAGCCCCCCCTAAGCCCCCCCCCCCAAGCCCCCCCCCCAAAGCCCCCTCACACAAGCCCCTCCTCTTGCAAGCTCCCCCTCACCCCCTGCTCATCCAGCTTGAGGAGGGTCTCCTGCACGGCGGGGGAGGGGGCGAGGCGCAGCCCCCCCACCATCAGCCCAGGCAGCACCAGCTCCAGCAGCTTCCGGGGGGGGACCCCTCGCGCCCCCGAGGGGCGAGAGCCGGGGGGCAGCGCCTCCTCCAGAACCGACCCCCGCAGCGTCCGTGGCTGGGGGGGGATACAGGAAGGGTCAGGGTGGGGGCACCTTCATGGAACCCCCACACTGCCCTTGGCCCTCATGGGCACCCCTGAGACCCCCTGAAGCCCATGGGGATCACCCCATAGGGCCTCTGGGACCCCCAGGTGTCCCCCCAACTTCATCCATCCTCCCGAACCCCACCCACCCCCTCCAATCCCCTGGACCCACCCTAGAACTTCTGAAGCCCCTCATCCCCTTGTACCCACCCAGCCCTTCTGGGACCTCCCTGATTCTCCTGGCACCCCCAGCTCCCTCCTCCCTCCTGGATGCCTCCCAGCACCCCCCTGTCACCTGGCAGGTGCGCAGGATGATCCTGTGCAGCACTTGGGCCCGAGGTCCCTCCTTCTCCTCCCGCCGAAGGGACACGGCCACGGGCCCCAGCCGGGGGTCCTCACCCAGCAGGTTCTGGTGCTCTGGGAGCAGCCCAGGGGGGTCGGGAGGCCGTATGGCCCTTCCCAGCCCCCCTACAGCTCCCCGTGGCCCCACCGGCTGTCCCTGCCAGCAGGTTCTGGTGCTCTGGGGGGCCGGGGGGGATGGGGGAGGGACGGGACCACCACAGCCCCCCCCCCACCACATCCCCTGCCCCCCCTCACCTTTCCCATAGAAGTACTTGCGATAGTACTCGGCGCCGTCGTCGCTGTGCTCGATGGGGTGGGGGGGTCGCGCCCCCGCCGGGGGCTCCTCCAGCACCGCAACCGCTGCGTTCGGCAGCTGCCCGGGCCCGGGGGGGCCGCGGGGGGGGCCCAGCCCTGGCTCCTGCTCTCCCCCCGTCTCACAGCAGAAGCGGGGACAGCTCAGCACCAGGGCCTCGGGGTCGGGAGGAGCCCCGTGGGGCCCAGGGGGCTCCTCGGGCTCCAGGTGGGCGGCAGAAGCCCCCGAGGTGGGGCCCGGGTCGGCCGTGGGGGGCTCGGCCGGGTCGAAGAGGATGCTCTGCACGTCGTAGTGAGCGAGGAGGGAGCTCCAGGGGGGGTGGGGGAAGAAATCGGGGTCCCCCCCGCCGGCCGCAAGTCCCAACAGCAGCAGAGGGTCGCGGAAGCGGGGGGACGTGGGGCTGCCCCCCCCGGCCGCCTCCTCGTGGCTCTGGGTGCGGGCCCGAGGGAACACTATCCCCGGAGACCCCTTCTCCTCCGGGGACCCCGCAAGGGCCGCCTCGCTGCTGCTGCGCTGCAGGGGGGCGGCCCCCCCCGGGGACGTGGGCGACAAGGGGGCCCCCCCGGCCGCGCTGGGGGGAGCGGGGGGTGGGGGCGGCCGGGCCGAGGGGCCCCGCATCTTGCGGAGGAAGAGGTCGTCGGACTGCATGGCCCCCCCGGGACCCCCCGGGATCCCCCCGAGGTTCCTTAGGACCCCTCTGAGACTCCTTGGGACCCCTCTATTCCCCCCTGAGACCCCTAGGGACTAGCTAGGACCCCCCTGAGACCCCCCGGGATACCCCTGATCCCCCCTAGGGAACACCCCCGTAACCCTCAGGAACCCCAAGGGACTCTCAGGGACTCCTTAGGACCCTCCTGGGGGTCTCTGGCACCTCTCCAGCCACCCAGCCCCCCCAGCCCCCCCCCAGTAGTAGCGGAGACCCGCACCCAGGGATTAGTCAATGGAAGCGTGGGAACGGAGTCCATGCCCCGATTGGGTGCCCGGGAATTCCCGCGTGCGGAGGCTCCGCCCCTTTTCCCACGCGCCCCTTCCCGGGTCGCGGTTAATGGGGGCAACCCGGGGGGGCCGGGGGGGCTCCGGCCGCGGCGCTCTCTGGGGCGGGGAGGGACGGCGGCACCTGAGGAGGGACAGGGAGTCAGTGGGGGCTCGGGGGCGCTCCTCAGCCCTCCACGCCCCATCCCCGTGTCCCTCTGTCCCTCCGTGTCTGTCCCTCCATCCCCAGTCAACCCACAGGCCCCCTTTGCCCTCCCCGCCTCGCCCACTCCGCTGCAGGGACCCCAGAACAGGGTTGAGGGTGGGGGTCCCCTTGGACCCCCACGGACACCCGGGTCCTTCCTTTGCCTGGGTCCTGGCCTGGCCCTCTGTGCCCCCCTCGGCTCCGTGGGGTCTGGGGGGGCTCGGTGGGAAGTTGTGGAGCTGGGGGAGTTCGAGGGGGGGCCCGGACGTGCCGCCGCCGGCGGTTTCCTGCCTTACAGGAAGTGTCAGCCGCCGACGGCCCCCCAAGAGCTGCCCCCCAAGTGCTCCCCCTAGCCCCCCGCACTGATCCCCACCCCCGGGGGGTCCCCCCCAACTCCAGCGACCTCCCCGACGATGGGTCCCCGCTCCTGACCTTGTCCCCGGTGTGAACTCGGGCGTCCGGGCTCCCCCCCAACTTCCCTCCTCCGGCTGCAGGACCCGGCGTCCGGCCCCCCCCAGAGGAAACGGCGTCCGGCTCCCCTGACTCCCCCCGGGCACCAAGGCCCCTCCCCGCCCCCCTCCCCC